ATAATAATTTTGCTTTAATTCTACCTGTGCACACTTTGTGTTACAAAATGTGACAAAAGACTGCATTATTTTCAGTTAATACTTAAACTGGACGGGCAAATTATAAGTAGCGCCAATGAGGAAAACACATTACTAAGAGTTTGACCAGGAAATTGATCAGTGACGAGTCCAGTTAATTTTTATTCACTGGAGCTTTACAGTCCTTGGATGAAACAACAAGACTCTGTAGTCCATTCAGCTGAGTCTCCCCTTCACCACAGAAACATGGCCGGAGGAATGCCATTGTAAATAGACCGAGAAGTCACATAGGGAGTCGATTATTTGTGACACAACTACATGTGTTAGCAGAGGAATGCGTTGTTTGAATTTACATGAGAGACAGTGAGCCTGAGGTCGCTGAGTACTCTCAGACTGCAGACTGAATCGAAACGCCTCTGACCAATCTGGCGGCAGCGAGCGGACCGTAACAAGGAGATCCGTGAAGGATTGGGTTTCAGTCAGCGCTCTTCAGCAGCTGTTGGAGAAGAAATTCTTCATAAAGCATTTGTCTGGGTCTGTGAATGACCCCCTCTGAAGAGACTCAGTAGAAGAGACTAAATAAAGGTCTCTTTCTGCTGCTGGTGCAGGATTGATTTAGCTTTTTTTGGTTCCCTCTTATACATGAACAAAATGTGACCGGAATCGGCCAGAGACATTGCAATCGATGCATCTCTATTTGTTAGATATTTAGTCGTTGATAAAAAGAAAAGCAGAAAACAGTTATTGATTAAAGGTTTAAAAGAGTCTGTGTTTATTTTTAAAACCAGTAGGATAAGTAAAACAAAGTAAAGCAGCCAAATTATTTCTAATACCAGATGGCAGTTTACTCAAACGCCACAGTAAGCGGAAACGTTTTGAGGCCTGATTTGAATGGGCCGCCTGTTTCAGCACAACTCAAATGCTTGGTCAGTTTGTTCCAGAGGTGGGGGGTATAAAAACTAAATGCTGCCTCCGCCTGCTTGGTTCTTATTCTGGGCACGGGGAGGAGGCCTACCCCAGACGATCTGAGGGGTCTGGGTGCCTCATACAGTGTGATGAGGCCTTAAAGGTATTTAGGCCTGAGACTGTTAAGTGATTTAAAGACATGTTCTCTGATTTTAAAATCTGTCCTTTGGGGACACAGGAAGTCAGTGAAATGATTTAAGAATGGTATATTACTGTTCCCTGTTTGAGAGCAGTGGTTTCTTTTCCCTTTACCTCCTCAGTAGTGGGTGTATTATTTTATTCTCTTATGTCATTCCCATTTGTCACAGAACCTGTGGCTGTCATTTTCAGTCAACAAGTATAAATATCCTTTTTAATCTGTGTCGATCTATGCTTGTTTTTATCTTTGGGGACATTTTTCTGTTGCCATTTTCTTTTTGTGAAGCAGGATGATGCTGTTACCATGCTCAAAATAGAAAGTTAGAGTAACCTCTTCTTACCCTGGAAGACCCTGCATGTTTAATCAAAGTAATGTCAGACTTCCGGTTCTTGTACTGGAAAAAGCCGAGCTGCTTTGGCTATAATAATTGCATGGAGAAATGAAAAGGATAAACTGAGACGCTGACATTCAGCACCATCACAAACACAAAGCATATGTCTTCTCCATGTTCTCCCACCTGACCATACAAAGTCATGATTAGACACAGTCTGCTCCTGTTACTCTAAATATTAGGCTTGCAGATCTGTCATCAACACGAATCATAGACCAGAGCTTCTGCTTGATGATGGATGAAGAGAAGGGGGGGGATGGTGGAGGTGGGAAGGAGGCTAAGTAAAGACTAGGTAAAAGAAGTAAGCCTTAATGTGTGTTTAACTACACTTCATTTCAACTTAGGTTTTTTTCTTATATAGCCTTTTCAAGTATTTACTTTGACTATGGGATGGCCTTAGATGCAAAGTCAACTGATTTCTCAGCTGGTATGAGGGATAAGAGTAACTTTGTGTAGTAGGTGTAGCTGTGTTTTGTGTCTTGAACTGGATAAATGTGAAAAGACTCTTGCTAGAAGACTTCCTTCAGGAGTTAGTTATCCAAGGCATAAAAGGGACAATAAATTAGAGCTGCAACAATTGTAACGTGTGCTTGTATTTGTTTGACAGGGACACTACCTGACCCCTTTCTGTTCTCTTAATTCACAACAAGTAACACGGCAAATCTTTCATCAAGTTTCACACCCTTAAGATACAGTTTTTCCACAGTCTACCACGTTGATTTGACCTCAACCGTCTGTCAGCTCAAAGCTACTATCAGCTCTTATCAGCTGTTAAGAAGCAGCATGGACTTTAATGTCCCGCCATTACTATTGAGCAAGACATGTCTCCTCCTCCAACTGCCACAGTGAATTTCTCAGCTATAATCGCTGTAAAAGATCAGCTTTCAGAAACAAGAAGAAAAGGAATTAGATGAGAGAAATGTCAAATAATCAAACTTGTCTGACAACAGAAAAGGTAACTTGAAATATATTATATAGTGTGTCAGAGAATCCACGAGTAACTTAGAAATACTGCCCCCAGACCCAAAGAGCAACACGCCCTCAATGGTCTTAAGGCTGAAAAGGTTTTTAGACTCCATAAAGCATGTTTCCTGAAGAGATGCAGGAGTAACAGAACAGTGGAAGTAAATACAAAGAGCAGAAGTTGAGGAAGAGAGCATTGACAATTGTCTGTAGAAAACTTCCACAGAAGGAGGTTGAAGTCAGATCTATGTGCATTTCAGTTGCCTGTATGCAAGGCCCAAATATGCACAACAGAAAGAATCTCTCACTCTCACACACGCACACACAATCTGCATCACCATTTAACACAAGCTTAGTAGCAGCTAAACCATAACAAATACGCTGGAAGTCCACAGGCATTTCCTAGGAGGGGGGAGACAGATTAAACAGGCATACCTGCCGTTGCCATGGAGATTTTGTAAGGTGTCCAACAGTTTGTACATGCACAATGAGGGGGCAAAGTCCCAAATATCAGCTAGTCATACAACCAAAGTTTCAAACATGCCAGAAACTGATCTGAACGACTGGTAGCAGCTGATTGGATCATAATCGCCACCATGCCTCAGTGTACACTACTAGACTTATCAAATACGATCCTGCTTTACTGGGAGTTGTTCTTACTGTTTTCACTCCCATAAACTTTGTAGTAAGCATGTTCCTTTGTTATCATGCATCAAGATCATGAATAGAAACGGCAGTGCCTCTCTATCTAATCCCATTATGTGGCACAGGGGCTCTGGGAGACCCTAACTGCCTCCCAATCTGTCAGCTCTCTGCAATTTGCAGCTCTGAGCAGGATGAGTCCCAGAGCGGTAAACAAAGCTGGTCTTCAGGAATGTTGGGGAGGAGCCTTAATGGTGAGAAAAGTCTCCACAGTTGGTGTTGGCTTGAATCTTGTGGTGCATCTTGCTGGGTATGTTGACAGTTTGGTCTGAGTTGCATGAAGTTTTTCTTTGTGTCTTAGTTTAGTTTGTTGATAAATAAAGATGAGCAGTGCCCATTGTTCAACAGAAACTGATGAAAACAAAGGGCACTCTAAAAGTTATTTTTCTACAGCAGCATGATGCCTATCAGAAAAGCTCTTACGGAAAACTCACATTTCAGTGGGTCATTAGGCCCCATTTAACAGGATGTGGTTGTTTTGCAGATGCCTGTACTCTCTGACCCACAGCACTGCAGAAACAATATTACACTTTCTCACGGACAACTACTGCAGGATGAACTTAACACCACAGTTCTCTGTCATAGCTTAAATTTAACATCCTCTTTATGTGTTTTGTAACTGTAAATATGCACTTTTTTTGCACCTTCACGAGTTAGCTTAATGGTATTCAACAGTAGAGTAGACTATTTCAGGACTCAGCTGTTGATGTAGCTTTGGTCAACACTGCCTGTATATCTGACTGTGGTCAAATACACAGAGCGTTGGACAGTTTCTTATTTCGAGGGTTGGGCAGACAGTCACAGAAGTGTGTCAGCGGAGTTATGAGAACGGCAGAGATTCAGGAGAAGGCATGATGAAATCACCTGACCAAATATGGGAGCACACTCACACATGTCAGTGAACACACTAAACCCTCTTCTCTTTGGTTTCTGCGATCGATTTTTGGCCTTTATCATGTTATTTTGCCCTACACAAAAAGTTGACGCACCACCCCAAGCTATTTACCACACAGAGTCACTTTGGAGACTTCAGTCTTTGTTTAGTTGTGTTTTTGGCGTTGTGGCTTGCTGGTTAATGCCTAGCAGCTCAGCTCATTGTGGTCAGTAAAGCAGTCCTATGATGCCTCTCTACCACAGTTATTCTTCTCCAGCCTGTATTCTGGGGCAGCTTGAACTGTCCATCATTTTAAAGCTCCTGCTGCTGCTCTGTTAAAGTCATTACAAATCTGCTGTTAGACTCATTATGAGTCACTTTGGATCAGACTAAACACATCAAGTCTAAATGCGATTATTTCCTTCTTGACGCAACATTTATGTCCTCTTAGTTTCTCTCCGTCGGTCCCTTGCTGACTCTTATCTTAAAAGCTTTGTCCAGATAACAAACTGTCTTGCATAGGCCTGTAACAGCATGAACGTTTTCAAACCACAGTCAGAAACAACAAGTATGTGGTGGGCTGGTTTATAAAACTGACACCACCTGGGTGTGGGAAATCATTGCTCCATATTTGGAAAATGCTAATGTTAGGATAGAGGTTAGCAGGGTATTTAGATAGAAAGACACTCCCAGCAAGTACTTCTTAAACCTTGATTATGTATCTTTGCTTTCTAGTCAGTATTTGTTTTAAAAGGCACAAGGCCACAAACTGCATACATAAACAGCTTTTGTCCGTGTTGGTCTCAACTCATACTAGTGCAAAAAAACTTTTGATTAACATTGACATAAAAGAAAAAGATTGACATTTGATGCTTGATATTTTTTTCCCAAAGTTCCCTCTGGTTTCAACCTCCATCACTAAGTTTTATTTTATTTTTCTGTTACAGATGGATTTCCGGTTACTTTTAGTAGCGACCTTATCAGCGGTCCTTGGCGGCAGCTGGGCTCAGCAAGGTAAGAGTGAGGACATGTCATAAGATTTGACAAATTTCACAGCTTTTCTTATCAAGACTGTTAAATATTTGCTAACCCAAAGTGTGATGTATCTTCAGCTCTGTTAACAGACTGTCCAGTGCAGTACAGTCACTATTGTATTCACTGTTAAACTTTGTGTGTTTATTATCATGATATGACTTGTTAGTTGTAATGCTCGAATCCCTCGTTTTGGATTTTAGTTTTTAAAGTCCCCGTGAAACATGAATTGAAGGGTATCCGACTGCCAAATTCCACACAAGGAATCACTTTATCAACATAATGACAAAACAGTCACCAAATGAACTAATAAAGCATCCTGAGAAAAAATCTTTCTTTATTCCGATGTGATCTGATAAGTTCTCCTGTAATGTGTGCACAGCTGCTCATGGCTGCGCTCACGCTCCAGAAATGAATCCAGTTGGGCAGGGCGCACACCATCTGACATGGCAAAACTGTGGCACTGACTGTGGAAATTTGCAGCGACTCCCTTGTCGTGATACTGACTCGTTTGTCAGCTCTGACACTGCTCCGATCCCCGGCTTAAACGGGATTGGAACTGATCGAACCGATCTCAAGATAGAAGTTGGGACATAACAGATGAATTTGATTGGATCGTTAGCTTCGACAAAGCTTTTTAGTCAGTCGAAAAATTAGTAACGGCCCGAGTGCAGGATTAGTCGTCAGCGATTAAAACGTTTTATAAGAAGAGAAAATTGTTATTTCGATGTCAAAAATACTCAAATGATGTTTTGTTTAAATATATTTGGCAGATAAATGAACATTTAACACAAGAACGCTGGAATTAAAGCAGGAAAATGTATTTTCATTTCATGGGGACGATAAGCACATTGCAGTAAGCAATGCTTTCTACTCTTTACTCCTCAACTCATGTATTTCTTCATTCATGGTTTAAAGACTGTGTGGCTCCTCTTGGCTAATGGTGGGCGGTTTCTTTTACAAGCTGAAGTCACCACTTGGTGAGCTGCCTCGAGCTCTTCGCAGCATGACTCAGTTGTCTGAAATGGGAAGGGGTTATATTTTCCAGCCAAAACCCAAATCTGCTTTGAGTTAGTGAACTAATGGAAACTTGGTTGTATCATCTTGGTCTGAGAGGAACTTGTTTTGTCTTTTTCAGAGGGGAGCATATGCATCAAGGCAAACGCGCAGTCATGTGGGGAATGCATCCAGGTCGCCGAGACGTGTGGATGGTGCACGGACGAAGTGAGTTAAACGGATAAAGCTTTCACTAAACTATTTTATCAGATGAATGAAAACGAAGATATGGAAGAACTTGCACTGTGGGTGTGACACACTCAGTGCCCTCTGTGCTTTGTCTTAATGGTGGAATTGCACAACCACTGCTGGTAATCATCATCTTGTGCGTTACATAATGCAGAGATTTAAACCAAGAGGCTTAATGAAACCAGCATCATAGTTAGCCTCGCTCAAGGGCACCCCGGCAGTGATCAGGAAGTGAACTGGCACCTCTCCAGCTACAAGATTTGGTTCACACAAAGACCTGAACCAGCAACCCTCCGGTTCCCAACCTGAATCATCATATTATCCCTCTTTTGACACAAAAATCTTCTATGTAAGAAAACAATCCCGTTGACACACATAAATTAAAGGATACACATGCACACATACTGAATTTTCTCTGTATGTGCATCAAAAATGTAAGGCAGTACTCTAGAGTCAGGAGAAAAGGAGGAAGTCTCTTGAACCTCTTTTTGACCGGTCAATAAACCACAGTAACTCCATTGATTGTAAACATCAGCGTTCCTGCTTTTTGTCTCGCAGTGTAAACTTTTGCTGAAAACAACTTTTAATTAGAATTTTTCTGTAACCACGGCTAATCTTCCTGCTGAGGCAGCAATATAGTACAGAGTGAACACACCACAGTGCATGAAAAACATGAGCTACAGCTAGAGAGAGAACAGAAAGCAGAGCAAATTAACACCAATGTTGTGTACGTTTTGGTCATTCAGTGAACAAAAGAAGAACAACAAACGTGTTCCTGGAACATAAGGCTTAATGTGAATCATCTCAACTAAACTGGAAAATAAAATACTGAGAAATGAGAGTGGTACAACTCAGCTGCTTCACTGGGATTACTTCAGACACAAATGAATCAGTATGATGTAACAAAAAGTCTTCAAAATACACTGTAACTAAGAGAACAGTCTAGACCTGCTCTGTTGTAAAGTGTCGTGAGATAGCTTTTTTTAGGAATTGGCATTATTTCTCGAGTGTTTGAGATTAACTACAATGAGTATCTCGTACTTCTGTGACCCTTTTTTTTTTGCCATTGTTTCCTGTGTTAAGCCAACAGACTCAGTATTCAATGGGTGTCTTTTCTTCTTTGATTTCTGTTGTTTTAATTTCAAATCTGTACAGAGAAGATGCAAAATGGGAAAGCACGCTTCTGAGAATTATGGGGTTTTGGAAGAATTAAATCGAAGCACTATTTTTGTTTTGACTGAGCTTATTGTCTCAAGTTCTCCTCAGTTATGCCTGCTGGGATATCATGTGCATCCAATCTGCATCCTTAGCCAGGTTTCCCACTCATCTTTTTCTTTCCTTCTCTAGAATCCTGAAAATAACGCCCTTAAAGAAAGAACAGACTGAAAAGTACGATGAATTGATTCCAGATGCTAATCAGTCTAACGTGCTATTTGAATCTCTGAGATATCTTTGATCATTATATCTACGACAGTCATTTCCCCAAACATACCGCATATCCCCAACAAAGAAAAATCCTATTTGTTACTTTTTCTTTGGGAACTCTGTATCAGTTTGTGAAAATGTTTTTTTGTAGCACAACACAACACTGCAGTTAACCTTCTGAATCTGATAACTAGAACATCATCATGTTTCCTGTCTTATCCCTGAAAAGAACAAAGTTTAAACCATGACGTAATGTTTAGGAAGCACATGGGTTTGTTGTCATTTAAGCTCGTTCTCATAAACACCGTCTGTGCTCTTCTCTCAGAAATTCTCACCACCGGTGAGTCCAAGTCGGCTCGCTGTGACGATCTGGAGTCCCTAAAGAAGAGAAACTGCGCCGTGACCAAAATTGAGAACCCGCGTGGAAGCATCAACATCAACAAAAACAAACCCGTCACCAACCGCAACAAGGACGTGACAGAGAAACTGAAGCCTGAGCAGATCACTCAGATCCAGCCGCAGAAACTCACCCTGACACTCAGATCTGGTAAATATTGTTATATCTCCTTCTACAAGGTCACACTGAAAAGAAAACAATCCTGCACACTACTCTTGCTAAGCATCACCAAGAAAAATCACAACGTTTCAATTCGAGACTCTTGCATGAGATCGTTGGATGGTCAATCGCCTCCTTGAAAACTTTCTACAAGGTGCCAGGTGTGCTGTGCCCGATCAAACACTTGAAACCAGTGATTTATTAGAGAGACTCTTCATCAGCGTTACATGGGACATCCTGAACAGACCTCATGTGTTTGAGTCGTTCTAAAAATCTCCATGCAGCAGTTATCTTAGAATCCTTCTTACTTTGATCTACATGTCTCAGCTGGTGTCACATTCTCTGATATGCCGCTAAAGATTGTCTTTTAATTTCCTCAAGGTGAGGCACAGACTTTTGACCTGAAGTTCAAGCGAGCTGAGGATTACCCCATCGACCTGTACTACCTTATGGACCTCTCCTTCTCCATGAAAGATGATTTGGAAAACGTGAAGAACCTCGGCACTGACCTCATGAGGGAGATGCAGGAGATCACCTCCGATTTCAGGATTGGTGAGAAAAACTTAACCACAGAAAAAAGTATACAAATTAACTGAAAGATGTGAAGTGTTGCTCACTTGTTTACAACCCTAAGTAAGACACATGCTACTTTTAGGTTTCGGCTCATTTGTGGAAAAGACCGTCATGCCCTACATCAGCACCACGCCTGCCAGGCTCATCAACCCCTGCACGGGGAACCAGAACTGCACCAGCCCATTCAGCTACAAGAACGTCCTGAAGCTGACGGACAAAGGGGACGAGTTTAACCGTTTGGTCAGTCAGCAGCAGATCTCAGGAAACCTGGACTCTCCAGAGGGGGGCTTCGACGCCCTCATGCAGGTGGCAGTCTGTGAGGTAAGACAGGTTGCCTTTTGTGTCCGTCCTTTTTTGCTTGTTCTGCCGCTGCCATCACCAGATGAGTCGCTTCAATGCGAGTTCTCCTTTTCCTCCAGGAACAAATCGGCTGGAGGAATGTGACTCGTCTGCTGGTGTTCTCCACCGATGCTGGTTTCCACTTTGCTGGTGACGGCAAACTGGGCGGCATCGTCCTGCCAAACGATGGGAGGTGTCACCTGGAGAACAACATCTACACCATGAGCCACTACTATGTATGTAGCATTTATCACTTATCACACTAAGCCAAACAGTCTTTGATTTGTAATGGAAGCCGAGTTCTTAATTTACTTATAGCTCTTTAATTGTGTCTCTACCTGTGTTTCATAGGACTACCCCTCCATCGCCCATCTGGTTCAGAAACTGAGTGACCACAACATCCAGACCATCTTTGCTGTCACAGAGGAATTCCAGCCTGTTTACAAGGTACGCTTTGTGTTTTCTGTACATCATGCTAGTTAACCTATATCGGCCTATTTCATGAAAATGTTCACTTTTTGATTTACATGATAAATTCTAAAGGAAGATCCGCTCTTACCTTTCACTCTTTTGTCTCTTTCAGGAGTTGAAAAATCTTATTCCAAAATCAGCTGTGGGAACGCTGTCGTCCAACTCCAGCAACGTCATCAAACTCATTATTGATGCTTACAATGTGAGTCAAGGGAAAACTCAACATTTTATAATAAGCTTTTAATCATGTTTATATGGCTTGCTTTTTATTTTGCACAAGTGTACTTTGGTGACTGCCTGCACAAGCCAGAGCCTCTACTTATTGTCTGACGTCTGTTATTCTGGTCCAGTCTTTGTCGTCGGAGGTCATTCTGGAAAACGGCCGGCTGCCTGAGGGAGTTTCCATCACCTACAAGTCAATCTGCAAGAACGGTGTGGAGGGAACAGGCGACAAAGGCAGACAGTGCCACAATATATCCATTGGAGACGAGGTGGGTGTCAATCCTTTCTGTGTTCAATGTGTGATTCTTTAAGAAAAAAAGGAAATAGATTTAACCAGCAAACTTTTGGGGGAAACCAGATGTTGAAAAAATGTGTCAAACATTGTTCAAGGTGTGTACATTGTCAAATAGTGGAAGATCTGAGAAGAGAAGGAGGCTGAGAGAAGAGTTTGTTTTAGTGGTTTTGGGCGATGTAGAATAGGTGAGTTTTTAGGGATTTCTTGAAGGTGGAGTGTGAGGGGTCTCTGATGGGTTTTGGGAGTGGCAATGGAGAAGGCCCTGACCCCCACAGGACTGATTATTAATCCTGCCGAGGGGGGACAGAAGTTTTGCGTCAGCCGACCTAAGTGTGCTGGTGGAGGGGATCAGACAGGTAGAGGGGGAGCCAGGTTATGAAGGGCTTTGTAGGTGATAATAAGGAGTTTAAAGTGGATACGCTGAAGGATGGGGAGCCAGTGGAGGTTATGAAGGATGGGGGTTGATCTGGTCATGGGTGCAGGAGTGAGTGAGAAGACGAGCAGCAGAAGTCTGCATTTATTTCTCATAGTGTTTTAGATGTTGAACCGTAGGTGAGACTAGTGCAGTAGTCCAGTCTGGAAGTGATGAAATAGTAACTTCACTTCAAAAAGATACATTTAAAACACATGTTTACATTTACTGAGTCTGTTCTTCCTCCTTAATGATGCATTAACTCTGTAAATTGTCCTTTTGGTTTTTAGGTGACTTTCAAGATTTCCATTGAATCCCAGAAGTGTCCAGCACTTGGAAAGAGTGAGACCATAAAAATTAAACCTCTGGGCTTCACAGAGGAGGTGGAGGTCGTTCTGAACTTCATCTGTGACTGTGACTGCGCCAAAGAGGGAGAGCCCCAAAGTGAGCAGTGCCACGAGGGCAACGGGACCTTCGAGTGTGGAGCCTGCAAGTGAGTGTGAAACAAAAAAAAATAGTGATGTGTTGGATTTGAGTCTGCGTACACAACTGTACCTCTTTTAGCTGAAAGAGGGAATTACTCATTTGATTTTGTGCTGCCAGAAGAGAAAACATCGACCAACAAATGAAGAAGGAACATTTGTTTTTACTCTTCCCCACACAGATAATAACACCTGATCATAATGTTTGACTTTAATGGTGCACTTTTTTTGTATTTTCTGTGCCAGGTGCAACGAGGGACGTATCGGGCGTCTCTGCGAGTGCAGCAAAGACGAAGTGAGGACCGAGGACCTGGACGCCAACTGCAGAAAAGACAACGGTACGGATATCTGCAGCAACAACGGAGACTGCGTCTGCGGTACGTGTGAATGCAAGAAGCGGGACAACCCAGCGGAGATCTACAGCGGAAAATACTGTGAATGTGACAACTTCAACTGTGACCGCTCCAACAACAAGCTGTGTGGAGGTGAGCATCAGGAAACAAATGTGTTTAAGAGGGTTCACTTTCTGTTTCAACATGAACTCTGTACTAACCCGTGCCCTCCCCTGTGCCTCACCAGGACATGGACGCTGTGATTGCCGAAAGTGCATCTGTGACGCCAACTACACGGGCAGTGCCTGCGACTGCTCCCTGGAGACCTCCACCTGCCTCGCCAAGAACGGGCAGATCTGTAACGGCCGCGGCAATTGTGAATGTGGAGTCTGCAAATGCAGTAACCCCAAATTCCAGGGTCCGACCTGCGAGATCTGTCCCACCTGCCCCGGTGTATGCGCAGAACACAAGTGAGTCTGAAGATGAACAATCTAGAGCTACAACCTTGTGAAGCTTGGGGAAGATTTCAGCCCGATTTAGACCTGATTTTTGATTGTACGACAATCAGATCAGATCATGCGTTGTCAGTCAAGCGGTTTACACTGAGGCCCAGTGTGAACTCGGGTTGTAAATTCTTTATTTTTGTTTTTCAAGGAGGAATAAACTGAGTGTTCTGTCATAACAAAGCCTTTTTTTACATAGCTGGGTATCGGCTCCAGCCCCCCACGACCCTGAACGGGAAAAGCGGTATAGATAACGGATGGATGGGATAATATAAAGATCAAGAAGAATTTGTAGAGACTTTACTTCTCGTTTTATGAAGAGCAGAGTAAATAACCCCGAGTCTTTATTTTCTCAGGGATTGTGTGCAGTGCAGAGCGTTTGTGGATGGCGACAAGAAGGAGACGTGTAAGCGGGACTGCAGCTACTTCGACCTGTTTAAGGTGAAGGATCGCAGCAATCTGCCACAGCCCACAGACCAGAGCTTCCCACTGACTCACTGCAAAGAGCGAGACGCCAACGACTGCTGGTTCTACTACACCTACGCCATCAGGAACGACACCAAGGAGGTCTATGTGATGGAAGAACTGGGTGAGACTGGACATTAAGTCGATTCATTAAGCAGTGCATTAACTATGCAAGGGGGCCTTTGGGAAGGTTTTACTTTGCACATGCACATGCACAAACACAAAAACACGAGTAACACTGCTCCAGGACGGGTAAGAGTTAAGAGTACCGCTAACAAAACAAGATTTTTTTTCTCTGCTTCAGAGTGCCCGGCAGGACCTGACATCATCCCCATCGTGGCCGGTGTCGTCGCTGGCATCGTGCTGATCGGCCTCGCTCTGCTGCTCATCTGGAAGCTGCTCATGATCATCCACGACCGCCGAGAGTTCGCCAAGTTTGAGAAGGAGAAGATGAACGCCAAGTGGGACACGGTGAGTCAATCACAGAGTAACAACTGGAGCAAGAAGTCATGAGAACTTTAGTCAGGGCTCAAGCTTTAGATTGTGTTTACCTTCCAGCAAATGACATAAATAATACATGAAAGCATGGATGGATATTGAAATGCATCTCCAGACGGACGACAGTACGAGTCAGTTTAAGAGTCACACTTGTGAAGTTATTGGCAGAAAAGAGGAGAGAGATTCAAAAACCAGCTTTTTGTCCTTGATGGACCTTAGCTCAGGGTTGTTTAGTCTCTTTTCTCTGAGGGAGCGGCCTTCCCCTCAGCTCCCAGTGCTGCCTCTCACTGTCCACAAGGAACAACTGCATGACCATAAAAGGCAATGAAGCAGAGACAGAGGAGGAGGGCTGGAAAAAAGAAAAAACTCCCCTGCTGCTGCTTACTGTGTGGAAGTCACACCAGTAGAGTTTATGACCTGATGGCAGGAAACAAACATTTACCACAGGCAGTGTTTGTGAGAACTTTACTAGAGAGCGCGTGTCTGTTTATTATTTATGGAAGAAGAAAGCAGATATATTGGTTTTTACTGGACTTCTTTTTCTGTCGTCCATTAGGTCCATTTTTTTTAATCAAACACAGTTAAATCTATTTTCTTTCAGCTTTTATACAAAAAAAAGAGGAAAATAGAAGTAAACCCTCGACTGAAATGTTACAGATCACATTTTTTGCACACTCATATATCCATCCATACATCCATCATCTTTAAACCACTTGTCCCGTTCGGGGTCGCGGGGGGCTGGAGCCGATCCCAGCTGTCATTGGGTGAGACAGCTGGGACTACTACTACTGCTTTGGTACCAAATGTTGCCAATGTATTTGTTCATTTTAGACGGTGTGTGGGAGTTCATTAGCAGTTCTGGTCAATTAAAACCAACAGACGTCTTCATTTGCAGTGTCAGGGACTTCTCTTTTTGTTGCTGTGGTATCTAAATTGAATGATTTTTACTCGTGTTTTATGGAAGTTTAAAATTTACAGCAACAAAAATAATTTCTGACCTTCTGTGCTCTGTGCTGAACTTTTTCCTCCAAACTTCAGTCTCTGTTCTTCACTTTTTTTTTCCTGCTTGTCTTCACACTTTTTCCATCTTTTTCTTTGTTAGCAAGGGAACCCCATTTACAAGAGTCCTATAAACCAGTTCCAGAATCCCAGCTACGGGGATAAAGACGCTGCTCTTTAGGTCAAAGTTTGTATCCCCTGTTGGCCGTGTGATCCTGCATGTGATTCCTCGGCAGAGTGCAGTGTTATAGACTCCCTGACTTCATGCGGAGCTGCAGTGAAATGAGTGGTTTGGTGACTGCATGTTGTGAAACAAGCATGTTTACACAGAGATGGCATTTGTTAGTAAGTGAAGCTGGTGTTATACTTCTGGATGTAACGGATATTATCAAGAAGAGGACAGTTAAATACAACATGTGTAACAGTTCTGTCTTTAGTTGAAACTCTTCCTTTAATTACATCTTTCTTGTTATGTTTGTGTAGCATCGATGTCTGACTTTGGGGAGATCTGAAGTAGAGCCCGACCGATACAGGATTTTTGGGGCCGATACCAATGTTAGGGAGAGAGAAAATTCCTGATACAGATACCTGTATATCTGCCGATATCTTTCTTAGAGCTACATGTATGTTTGATCTCTAGAGATCGATTGATATAGAGATAAACACAGAGTTACTGCATTGATCCATTAAATACTGTTAACAACACACGAGAAAAAGATTTATAATGAAGACAGTGTTGTTGTTTGTTTTACAGTTGAACAAAAGCCTTTATTGGCCAGAATAACAACAGTTCACTTTATGAACTTAAATTGAATAAGCCTAGTTATATCAGAGATTAAATTATCTGATAACGATGGTCACATAATTTGCTTATATCGGCCGATATTATCAGCTGAACACCGGGCCTCGGTGTTCTCAATCCAGGATCACCAGCCACACCCACTCGCACCTGAAACAGGAAAGAGACTAGACCGCAAAATAAGGAACAAGCTGGGTTGTCACACAGTTAACTCAGGATAAAAAATATAGGTGTTTTCGGCCCGCAGGAACTTTTTCATAGTTCTAGGAACTGTTGGATTCCACGACGCAGGAACTATGAACTCTTTTAGTTCCTAGAACCGCGTTTAGAGGAACCTGTTTAGCTCCTGCTTTAGAGTAGGTATCATGGCGGTGCGAATGTAGACAGAGAAAAAGTCCCCATGGTGTGTAGTTCTCACAAGGGGAACTCCTAAAAGGATAGTTCCTTTTCAAAAAGTCCCCAGAACTGTTTTAGGATTATTTCATAGACACCTTATGTCTGTGAAATAATACTTTAATCTTAAATATTCAGAGGAAAAAAGATCTATTTTTCTATAAAATGAGGGTACTTTTTAACCTTTTGTATTGCGTCATGTTTTTGGCTTTGCATTCTTACTGATCATACGTTTCAGAGTAGAGGAGTATTTGTTATAAACGTTAAAAACAGCGGGCCCAGGTCACGTGGTCATGTGATTATGGGAATGTTGCTGTTGCTGTTTCTTCTTCCATCATAATCTCTGTAAACAGTAAACTGTTGGGTGTTACATGCCTTACTGAGATTTTAATAAGCTGTACTTACTGAAACGACTTCTGACTTTCTGAATGTTTTGTCTTCTCTGTCGTACTGAAATTCTCTCAAACAGAAATGCAAATGTAAAATAGACAATATGTAGTTCAGTTCATGCTTTCACTTTAGCCACAACTTAGGACTACTTCACAAACGATTCAGTTTTTAAGAGAATATTTAAATACTTAATATTATATTCTGTGTTTATAAACAACAAAATCTCCTGCCTTTAAATGTAAACACTGTGACTCAGTTGACTTGTCAGGCTGCCCAGAGTGACGCTCGTACTGAACGTAAACACCTTTGTAAAAAAAGAACACAGCGTCTTTAAAGCTGACGGAGTGAGATAAAGAAAGGATTCATTCTTTAGGTAAAAATGAGTCTCAAATAGGACTTTAATATCACAGCAGTCTCAGTCAGAACCCGGTATTTGACACACGGTATGTCAAATCCTGCCACCAGGGGGCTGTCCATCAAAAAAATGACGTTGAGGCTGGCAGGGAGTCATGTCAGTGATTCGCTCTGCAACTATAAAATTACTGATTTTCTTGGAAATATTAGAGGTAATATAAGTACTCACCAACAAAATGTACCGGTATATAACATAGGTTTAGTCCATTTTAGAAATTTGAGTGTAATTCTTCTACATGTTACACCTTTAAGCAACATCATGCAAACACTACTTCAGAAGTCATATCAGTAAATCTGACTGTTGAACTCTCGTATCAAGACTGCAAAACCAAACTTTCCCACATGCCAGAAATCCATCTGATCGCCCTAAAAGGTTTGATCATGATCCAGCCTGTTAAACATGTTGTTACCCCTCCATTTCTAAACAAATCAAAGAAATCTCTAGAGTTTACATCCACATCAACTCAGTGTGCTCCACTGCAGCTAACTCTCACTTGAGTGTCGACTGCAGGATGCAGGTGCAGAGGCTGGATGATTTGAATATTATGTACAGATTTAACTGTGAGCGTTTAAGATAAGAGAGAGACAGTCAGTCAACTGCAGCAGACAAACTCAAGCTGCTGAAACCATGGCGACAGTGTCAGACGATCCACTGCTGAAGTCCTGTCTGTAACGCATTTGGACACAGGCTTGTTTTCTCACTAACTTTCATACAGCATAGCCGCATCTTAAACAGATGATCTTCAGAGTATCAGAGTTGTGTTATTGTTTTTTGTTGTTTGGTACAGCGTGTCGTACTCACTGTCGCTCTCCTCCTCTCTTCCTCAGGGGGAGAATCCGATCTACAAAAGTGCCGTGACCACCGTCGTCAACCCAAAGTACGAGGGCAAATGATGGAGCTCTGCCTTTTTGTGACAACACTGTATGGAGAAAGAACACGGGCGGGGATGGAGGGAGGGAGGGAGGGGCGGGTTTTTTAATGCTCTCACTGTTTGTCTGTGTGTTGTTGTAGTCACCAAATGATAGCAAAGCGTTTTGCCACTATTTCAGTTTTTTTTTTTTTTTTTTTTTTTTACTAACTTGTTTTTATTTTCTATGCATCTTTTTGAAATGTGTACAGTCTGTATAAATGTTGGGTTTTTATTTGATTGTCTTTCTTTTTATTTTCTTGAGAATGTGTTGAACTGATTTGTGGGTTTTTCTGCAACAGGACCGGCAAGGTCTAAATGATGACCGCCTCGCTGTGCCTTTTACAAAAAAAAAAAAAACCATCAAGCCATCAGTGTTTTATTGAGGGATGAAGCGGATGTTAATAATGGGCAACAACAAGCGAGAGTTCCTTTCCAAATAAGCATGTACACAACGCTGTGAGTGCGTATTGATCCATCGTTCAAAAACACAGAGTCCTACGATTTGTTTGCTGTCTGGGCAAAGGTCTCATCAGGTCTCTCATCATGTTTTCTGAGTAGTTGTCACTCTGTGTAAATGTTTCCTTGGATTGAAACTCTCCAAATGTAGCGCCAGTTGTGTTGGTAGCAATGAAATGTGTACAGTGTGTTTTGGTTTCTGTGTTAAGCCATATTTGTATTCACAGAGCAGGATTCAAGGCGTATGTATGTAGTGTTTTTTTTTTTTTTGTCTGAGTGACTTCTAATCCATCTGAACAATCATTTCTGATGTTTCTTTTTGTTTTCTAAAGTAAAGGACATCAGTGTACAGTGAGTGTTACTGTCTGGCTCCAGGGTTTACTCGCTTAATTTAAAAGCCAACTCAGGTCCTTCATTCTTCACAGCGAAGCCAAATACTCGCAAACCTGCCTTATCGCTGACTAAATGAGCTTTGATTGAAATGCCTTGTTTCATTTGTTGGATGTGATCTGGGGGAAGGGTCCTACTCTTTTTTTTTTTACGTCGGTAACGCCACCCAACTCTTTTTGTGGTGCTTTGACCAAACATTTTCTAATGAAAAAAGAAATAAGAATGGTCTTATTACAATGTCCGTTTGAAACATCAGTGGTAAGGGGTCGATGCCTTGATCTGTTGATTTTTAGGGTTTTATAAAGAAGAAAAGGTTCCACTTGTCAACATTGTTTTTAAGTGCCTTTTTTTTATTTCAACACATCCACATTTGCAATTCTGTATTTCTGAAATTATTTATTGAATAAACCTTGAAAACAATTTACCCCAAGATCGCTAAAGCCTGTTGTGCAATAACTGTTGTTGGATGTTTTGTTTTACTCGCTGGCGTGTCTCCATGGCTCTGTTTCTCAATGTACTGTTTCCTCGGATTCATGTGCGTGGAGGTCGTTTGGCAAATTCTCAGTTTTGATGTGGACAAACTGCACCTCAGGACAAAGGTTTTATGAGTCATGCTTTTCTCATCCTGATAAATCAATCAATAATGAGCGTGTCTTGATGTGCCAACCAGTTAAGCGTTAAAACTGTGCTGTTCTGTCTGGCATGTCATCATTTGGTAATAACTTTTATCGTTTTTCTTTGTTTTGTTTACAACTTGTGTCATGCTGAACAATGTTTTCTTAATTTTTTAAACATCTAGACATGTTTTAAAGATGCCATGATAAGCAGTAGCATTAAATCTAAAGAATGGAGACATTGGACAGCTATTTCTGTTACTAAATGTTTCTGTCTTTCATCAAACTCGGAGCTAAAATCAAGTGTTGGTCGAGTAAATGTATCCTGATTTTCTACATCAAATAAATAGACAAACTTGATATTGGGTTGAAAGGTTGCTTTATAGCAATGGTTTTACTTCTTAGTTAGAGGACAAATGAATAACATCAGTATTTGCTAAATAAAGGTTAAACTGTGAGGTGAAGTGTGCAGCCTAAGCTGGACTGAAGTTTGTTTTGAGTTGGGCCAAACTATTTAGAAATATGCAGTTTAAGTTTTACTCGCCCGTTTCCATCGTTAAATAGACAAAACTTAAAATAAATAAAGATAAGTGAGTTGTTGAAAATGGGGATTATGTTTGTATTTAAGTTAGGACTCAAATCAATAAACAATGTGGTGTAAAAGTACGACTTCAATGTCAAATACAAATCGGCTAAACGGCTGAAGGGCTTCTGATGCATTCAAGTGGTGTCGGACACATCGGAAAAACGAGTTTCCGAGTTGTAAAATGCACATGAACGCCTGCTGAAGTCGGAACAACAACTCGAAAACTCGGAAAAGAATTAGGTGCCCGACTTCCAGACTTGACGTCAGAATCGTAATCAAATGGGGGGTAAAATATGTTGTATTAATGTTAACATAGGCTACGTTTTATTAATTCACGTATTGCACATCAACTTTTTTCTCAAATATAACTTTCAACATTTACATTTTAACGATCTTCATCGTAGCATCAACACATCCCGACTTCAGGAACTGAAATCACGTGAACACACCACACTGAAGTCGGAAGAAACGACTTTCCCAAACTCGGAAAGTTTGAACCACCCGAGCAAGCACCTGAACGCAGCATTTCGTCTTTGACATTATCAGCCAATCACGCCCCCCCCCCCCCCCCCCCCCCAGACGCTCTTTGACGAGGTGGATATAAGTCCGGACAGCGGCTCTCTTTCTTTAAAATAACTTGTTCACCATCTGTGTTAAAAAAGAAAGAAAAACCCGGATATTTTTTGAATGATCAACCTGGTGAGTATTTTTTATTAATAATATTATTAACTTGAATCGACGGTCGTTTAAAAAAAAAAAAAAAAAAGGGCCCACCGTGAACAGTGTTTTCTGGCATCAGATGATTTCATCCTCACTTTGTCAGCTCCCTGAAGCAAAGAGCCAGAGACATCGAGCGTTTCAACCAAATCAGGATTCTTTTAATTCTGTATCAGAAATGTCTAGTTTGATGATAGTTACATTAAAGGTAAAAAAAAAAAAGCACACGCACACAATGTCGGAAATCTTGATGCAGCCAACATAGTAGAGGAACAAACCCCCAAAAAGGCTTTAGTTTTTGAGATACCCCTACCCGAGGTAGAACAGAGCACAACCATATTTTTTCATAACTTGAACATGTCTAGTTTATGAAACGGATTGTTGTATAAAAATATTTTACTGCAAAATAACTTTTTTTGGATGTTTTATGCATCTTACCAAAAAATGAAAATAGGTCAAACTAGGGCTTCTCCAAATGTGACAGCTCTAACCTTATCACATGTACCTCTGGGAATCAGAATCAGAATTTCACCAAATTTGGACAGGATGTTCACAGATAGTTATTAGTTACTATTACGCAAATTTAATTATTTTTTATCAATACCATTTTCAATTTTTGAATTTTTCACACTTAAACACACATGTAGTTTAGGCGGAAATTGAAAATTGAAACAAAAATTCAAAAGGTATGTATATCAAAGTCTGTCATTTTTTAAGTGAGGACACCAAACATTAAAATATGTCATTTGTATCTTCTTTAGACTGTTATCTCAACATAAAAGTTATTTGACTTTTCACTTGACCCTATGCTGTCACCAGCCCCTAACAGGAAACTAGTGCAGCCAGGATTTCAGGGCGACCTGGTACAATGGGCCCTATGGATGTGTATGTGGGAGGAGGTGGCCACAAACAATAGATTAAGACTTAACAAGACACAATATAATTGTATTCTATAATATATATATAATTAAACATTTTATAGTTATTCCTAATACATTTTGTCTCATTTTCTATCTTACATATGATTTATATGATGACACTCAGAGTCAACCTGCTGCTTTCAACAATATTGTCACCTATGACATTGTTTCTATTTCATTCTAAAAAAAATAAAGCATTGATATATTATACATATTGATATATATATAACCTTGAGTTCTTAGAAATTAAATATACTTCATATAGTGTATTTGTATATCGCCCATACAGCCTGTTGTAGTTTTTTTAATGTATTTCAGTCATATAAAGATGGTGTGTAGTCACCATATCTCCTGCTTTTAAGAAGAACCCTAGTTACTCCAGAGGATCCACTGGATGAAGGGATAGTTTTTAGAATACCATAAGTATGATAAAGTGTTAAAAAAAGATACAATAGCTATTTTTGTTGAATGATTTATCAGGCAACCAATGGAGCTGGGATACAAAACAATTCTTATGATGGCTTAAATGTGTGTAAGGTAAATTAGGATAACAATCATGCAAACATGTTTATAAAAAACTTCTTTATACACTTATTTTACCTCATTATATATAATGACATTTGTTAAATGCTAATAACAAAGGATGATTTCCACTTTTAGACAATATGGCTGTGAACCTGAGAGCTTAACACCGTACAACTAAAAACCTTTGTGTTACACTAAGCATCCCCTGGGGACAAAGTTTGATCTCTTATCTCTTCACTGACCTTGTCCTGTGCTTGTGTAAGTTGTGTTTACTGATGAAAAATCTTCTTCTGCCAAGTTTGAACCGTCAAATATATCCCTAACTCTGAATCTTGGCTGTAGAAAATGACACCAACCCGCTGAAAGCAGTAACGAATAAGAATAACTTCACAGAAGAAAATATCTTCTATCTTAAGGTCTTGTTTGCTTTTGTAAACCATTTAACGATATCAGTCTAAGTTTAAGTGAGCTCCATAACCAACCAAAACAATCCTCCCAGGAGCTTTAAAAAAAAACAGCTGCTGCAGAAAATAACCAAATCAAGACAACACAACCAAATCAAGACAACACAACACAACCAAATCAAGACAACACAACCAAATCAAGACAACATAACCAAATCAAGACAACATAACCAAATCAAGACAACACAACCAAATCAAGACAACATAACCAAATCAAGACAACATAACCAAATCAAGACACCACAACCAAAGACAACACAACCAAATCAAGGCACCACAACCAAATCAAGACACCACAACCAAAGACAACACAACCAAATCAAGGCACCACAACCAAATCAAGGCACCACAACCAAATCAAGACACCAC